CCCCCCCCCCCCCCCTTGAAAAATCCTGGCTACGCGCCTGGACACTGTGTGTTTATGACTTAACAAATAATAAATCTTTCGTAAATAAATCTTTTGTAAATAAATCTTTTGTATTTTGTTTAATTGTTATTAACTGTTATTAATTGTTTCTTTTCTTTTCTATTATTATGCTCTTGCATGTTTATTTAATTTTGCTCCTTCTGGTTCATCGCCTGTACTTATTTTAAACAATTTTTGGATGAGGTTTTTGTGACTGATCCGGAATAATCAAGGTCAAGGTAAGTGTTATGAGCCGAAGCCGAAGGCTGAGGCTGATAACACTAACCGAGACCTTGATTATTCCGGATATAACAAAAACCGAATCTAATAATTGTTTTATTATACAAGCCATTCTTATTTTTTTTATTATAGAAGCCATTCTTACTTCGCTGTCCGCGAACTTGACATTGCAGTCCGGCCGTGCACTTGACATTGCTCTTAGAAATCATGCATTGCGCGCGCAACCTACAGATTATTCACTAATCTGCAGGTACAGATTAGTGAATAATCTGTAGGTTGCGCTGTTTCCCAGAATTAACTGTAGGCTTTTAGCCAATGAGAAGACAGATGGTGACTACAATGTATAATAATAAGCGTAATTGGCAGTTATGATGGCCAACTATAGAAAACCTAATCTTCACTTGGCCATCATACTCAAACTTTCATATCAATTCTATAGCAACATTTTCCAGTCACCTGCAAAGTCTGTAAGTTGAGTCTTTAACCTAGCGTTAGTCAAAATATATATTGAGCGAAATAATGTGAACTTAAACTTGCATTTGACTTCTAATTCATAGCCTATATATTGGTTTGTGTTGAACCACTCACTCGTTATAAATAAGATCCCCGATTGTATACTGTAGGCAACGAACCCCTCCCACTCCTCCCTCCAAGCAGGAATATCATCTTAGCTTCCTGTTCACAGACCCTCTATTTTCTCCTCGAAGTCCGTCTAACGCGCGTGATCAAAAATAAAAACCGACGGCGATTTATTGACCGCCAGCGCAAGGGGTTACGGGTGGAGGAAGAAGAAAATAGAAGCGCGCTCACCGATTTTTCGAAAAGAATGAAAAGATTAATAAATTAACGTCGGTGTACAGGCTTATCTTCTCTTTGCAGTTAGAACTTTTCTTCGTTGGCAGACGGATTAAGCTGATTACAAAGATGGGCATGCGTTTTTGCATGCACGAAAGTGTAAGCACGGTAGGTACAATATAAAAGTGCAATATAAAAGATCTGTTTATCAGCAAATGTGAAGGAAATTTTATTCAAGTCACGAATGCTGAATGCTGAGATTTGTATCAGTGCTAACACAAAAAAGAATTAAGCTAAAACAAATCTCGAGCCGTTCATAGACATTAACCATAAGCCTAACATTTACCCTGAAGGGTTACCATTTTGTTGCATATCATGTTTAGAAGGGAAAACGTAACCCGCGGTTTGATCGAGAAGGAAAACAGATGTATTTTGGATGAGAGTTATAAAATTTCACAAGTTGCAGTTTGTTCAAAGTGTAAAAACCTATATAGCTAACTTATATTTACGTCCATTTAGTCCTACTTACGACACTTAGTTATCTAACTTCATTGTGCTTCAATAAAGTTTTAGAACGAGGGTTGTTTTTAGTCCCCTTTTCTCTGTGCTTGGTGACTTTTCACAATCGTAGCTGAATAATAGGCTAAGGGCAAAAAAGGTGTGTTGATGTCGAAGGTCGAATTTTTTTTATATAGAAACAACTGGCTTTAAGAGTTTTAACAACGTTTCATGTCAACATATTAAACCAGTCACTATCAAAGGGTTTAATGGCCTGAAATGACTGAGTGTGGATTATCAATTGCAATGACTAAGTGCGAGCATACTTCACAATATTTCGTGCAATGATGAACTGCGAAACTGACTCAAAGTTTTGCACGTACACCGACAGATCAAACTGCAGATAGAGGTAAAAGCACATTGTCAATATATCTAAAAGCCGCGCAACATAGAACCAGGGGCGTTGCATCATTACACGCACATACGCTTTTGAGTACAGCTGAAATCTGGAAAATATATATTTGTCATGTTCCACAAAGGCCTTTTTATCATTAAATCGGGATGAATGATAACTCTTTTTTTTTCATTATAGTGGTGTTTTTACCCGTCTAGCCTGCGTAGCAGGCGCTAGGAAATAAATGGGCGCAAGAAAAAACGCGCGCGCGAGAAGGAGACACGTGTCTCCCTCGCGTGCACCTGTTCTTTCTTTCGCCCATGCATTAAGCCATTGATTTCCTAGCGCCTGCTACGCAGGCTATTACCCGTCTGAAGGGTAAACATCTCGCCCTTTGCTTGTAACCTCCTTGATGTCATCATTGTTCTACCTTTTTTGCACTCTACCGATAACACTTGAGATGAAAATAAAACAACTAATTATATATAATTATTGCATTTTCCTTCGCATTTATTTACTGAAAACGTCCTGCGAAAACGCAGGAAATGGCACTTCTGAGTCCCTAAATTTGAACAATTTTCCGTGGGGGATCATGCCTCCAGACCCCCTATAGCTAGTTTGCAGTACCTTTGGAGGTCCATCCTTTCTTCCTGGAGTGGTGGGGGTACTCCTGGGAATTCTTGGTGGGGGTGTGCCGACCAGTTCCCCAAATCCTGACCCCTATTTCAGACCAAAAATTTTTATTTTCCACACCTGTTTCTCGACCTTGCCTTGAGGCAGAAATTATGTCATAATTCACCTTAGATTAGAGCGCAAATAAAACATTTCTCCAAATTAACGTATTTCGAATTCGCATATTTCTATTTCTTTCTTCGAAACGATAAATACGTTCATACACTCCGGTAGTTCCCTCGAAAACCATACCCGATTCCAGACCAAAATGGGCAAAGTGTATACCCGTTTTCAGACCAAAAAGGCCCCAAAACACTACCCTTTGGGACGGCAAATACCTATATGACTTGTATAAGAGAGTACCCCCCAGGGCTTTCTTTCCCTGCGTTCACCTTCAAAACCTCACGTCACGCCACTGAGAACACTGCTTAGTAGATTGAGATATTGGATTTAATTATTCAGCTTACAAAATTAATATAGACTTCATTTTACTGCATTGATTACTACAATTCAGTTTGCTATTGAAATTTTTTCACAAAACACATAGAATACTTCACAAACAGGAGTGCTTCTCCAAAGTTTCATCCCATAAAACGATCAAACTACCAAATGAATCTAATTTTGTGTAAATCTATAAAAAACCTATCTTTCTTTTTAAACTATAAATACTTCATTGCCGGAATTCACTTTGAAAGTATGTATCAGTTTCGCACCGTATTTGGTAAATATTCCCTATTCAATTCAACTCTTAAAATCAAAGTAAGAAAAACCGATTAGACAAAAATCTTTATAAAAACATGAATTTTGGGACGTAAAATTGAAGACAATTAAAAACAGTTAATCTATTAAACTATACCACATTTGTACGGTTCGCTGTGCACTTGTGCATCAGGCACTGCTGTGACTAAGCGAAGAAACAAATGATTTGTTTCTCTGTATTCTGAAAGTTTTTTTAACAGCTAAATGGCAACCTTCTAATGAACTATTTTACAAATCAAGTCAGTTGAACTGACGAAGATATTCGAGTTTCTGCAAGGACAAGTAAAAGATGAGTGACTGTTCAGTTATAAAGTGAACAAAACTTAAATTGTCTGGAGTAAATTCATTCTACAATGTAGAATTCTTGTGTTCAGTGAATAGTGATACCCTTGTTTGGTTGCCCATGGAGAATACTTGAATACGATCGTTTCCCCAGTCACTGATAACAATTTGATTATCCTTTAATAAAGCGACACCCATTGGGTGATTAAACTGTCCCAGCGACTTTCCTTTAGCACCGAACGAATTCAGGCAAGTTCCATCGAATCTAAAGAACTGCACGCGATGATTGTCAAAATCGCAAACTACGATTCTGTCCAACTTGTCCACAATAACTCCTCGTGGACTATACATTTCTCCTTTCTTGGCGCCCGGTGCTCCAATGGTTTGCAGAAAGTTTCCCTTGGGGCCGAAAACTTTTAAGACATTATTTCCAGTGTCAGAGACCACAAAGCGCTTCCTTACGTTGCAGAAAGTAACGGCCCTAGGCTTTTTCAGCTTGCTTTTAATCGTGTCTCCAAACTTAAACAAGAAAATTCCCTCGGGCGAGAAGACTTGGATTCTATGGTTGTTCCAGTCGGCGACAATGATGCGACCTTCGCCATCTACGCAGATTCCGGAGGGTCCGTCGAACTGACCTTCGCCGCTGCCCCGACGGCCGATCTTTCGAACCAGCTTACCTGTCTTCGCGTTATAAACCAAAATGCGATGGTTGTCTCTATCGGCGACTATGACGTTTTTCTCAGTGATGTCAAAGGCAACGCCAACGGGATAGTTCAGCTCTTCGCCTCCGAAGTCCATTTTGCTCATCCCGCTTGAATTCAACAAATGGACGCAGTGTTTTTGAGTGTCTGAGACCGCAATGTCTCCTATACTGCTGATGGCAATGCCATTGGGTTGGGTGAAGAGACCGTTTGCTCCTGTCATGGACTCGAAAGATTTGAAAGGAAGCATGACAGGTGGTTTGATGACCAGTTCAAAAGGACTTTCCTGGATGTGCTGGCCACCAACTTTTACTTCTAAGCCGTAAGTACCAACCGCTTTGGCAACGTACGTCACGTCGTAGTGTCCATCTTCGGAGCTTTTAACGTCAACCGTGATTACTTCTCCGCAGTTGTTGTTAGACTTTGCTTCTACCGTGACGTGATCTGCACTGCTATAACACACGTCACCATTCATATCGCGAGTTGTCACCGCGAAAGACGTATCTTCTCCCACGAAGGCTTTTCTGAGTCCTTCGCCGTCTGCGAAGCAAGACAACGGGTCAGTACTGCTGACAACGATCTGACCAAGCGACATCGTCTCAAGGGTGTTCACCAGCGAAGGATTCGGGATGTACTCTACGGCTGAATTCTCTACTGGTCGCGTGTCAATGATCATATCACCCAAACTTTCCAGGCGAGAGATCACACGATCTCTTAGAACCATAATTTCGGGAGCAAATTCCCTGCCGATTAGAGAATCCACAAATTCAAGTGAACTATTCGTCTGGGCTGAAAGAGACTCTAGCCTACTCTTCTGTGTCAGAATTTTTCCTTTCTTTTCGTTGCGGATTTCTTCTAACATCTTTGACATCTCATCGCCATGCTTCGTGAGGATTCCTACGAGATAAGCGACTTTCCCATCCACTTCGTTTTTCAGCAAATCGATGCACCTATCGATTTCCGCGATGCGATTTTCGGTGTTTTCAATTCCCGTCTGAATCTCCCGAGCTTTTCCGCGTACAATAGTCGCTTTTTCCTCCATCGCGACTTTACTTCTGTCTGCCACATCTTGAATGTCTTGTGTTGCGTGATATTCCTCGTCAATAATGTTACAGAGGCCGCACATGTAGACATCACATTCCGGGCAATAGAACTCTATGCTTTCCAAGTCTTTTCTTTCATGTTGGCAGTAGATGGGACGCCTGTATAACGCTTCGTAGTGGCTGCTTTCAAATTCATTAAGTTTGACTTCGCGGTGCTTCTTCTTCACGTTCATTTGAGCGTGCGCACTAGTGCACGGCGGGCAAAGGTACTCATCGCAGTCGAAACAAAACGCTTCCAATTTTGTTGTGTCTTTGCAGTTGTCGCAGACCCCATCTGCTTCCTTCAAGGTCTTTGCCTTGTAAAGATCTAGGATTCTACTCAGGTGAAAATTTGACGGCGAGTCCGGCATTTTCGTCGATGGTTTAAGATCTTCCTCCGGTACCGTCGCTTCTGTTTGGCATACCGGGCACTTAAAAATGAGCTTTGACGACTGATGATTCCATAACTGCTCCAAACAGTTACCACAAAAGCTGTGCAAACACACCGACAGCTTAGGATCCTTGAAAACATCACGACACTGAGTGCAAATTACCGTAGCATCAAGTTTGTTGAGTATATTTTGAACGACGTCGTTGCGTCTTAAGGACCGGCTTTTCTCTGTCATTTTGTCAAGATCTGTTAACGAAACTCGTACACGCAGCTGGCAATCAACGAGTAAAACCCCTGTGGTGTGGAGCAAAATGTCTCGGAAAGAGCTCAATACGTAGGTATTAAAAGCAGCTATAACATGTATATTCCCTTAGGTTTTTATCATGACAATCACGAATACTATATAGATCCGTTCCGGTTCAGCAGATGACTGGCGTATTTCAAATTTCACGAACGCTTGATGTGTTTTGCATTGATTAAAACAACCAGATAGAACACCGCAAACATATAACACTGAACGGTTTAGATGCGGTTTAAAAACATATTTTGACGCAATAATTTAACTTGGAGGATTAAATAGATATAATATTTTGCATATGTAAAATAGCATGTAAATTTTAGGAGGCACCCACGCTATAGGTTGCGATATTCTAGTGACTATATTGGATGACAATTAAAATCGGATAATAAATATGTCTGTATCGACTTCTTAGTTTGTCTAAATCTTAATAATGCTGTTTACTCCGAAAGACTCCGCATTCATTTTTGATTTGCTATAGGTATTAATAAAAATACTAGAGATATTATGTCTTGGGGAGTCATGACATCCATGAAGCGAGCTGCTTGTCTTTCATCTCATCAAACCATCAACTTCCTTTTTTTCAAAACTGGCGGAAGACTACGTGTGTACTATGTAGGTCCGGCAATGTTTGGCATTCTTGGGTGAGGGAGAGCGGAATTTTAGGCAGGCTTGCGACCAAGACGGGAGAGCAGTGACCTAAATGAACTGAAAGAAAATATTGGAATGGTTTGTGGTCTTTTGACACATGTTTCGTTGCCTTTTTATTTTAGGCAATCACCGGTTGTAATGGTCGATATAAAACCGGCCTAGCCGCCTGGAATTCATCTTACATCTGAAGCAATTCACTGTTAAATCCGACTTAACTCTGACTAAAACAGTCATGAGTTGATAGCACACGGTTATTTTCCAGCAACGTAAAATTTTAAGCTACATGTACACCGTATTAAACTTCCTCTAGGTATCGATCTGAAAAAATTTGAAATGATTTGTTGCAGATATTATTACAGCTGTTAACTTCCCAATACGATTTGATGAGCTGTTACATTTTGATTGGCTGTCTGAATGGTCCAAAAATAGACATCTATTTCGCGCCTTTTTGTTTGTGGAAAGTGTAGTAAATCGGATAGGACTGTGAATTGGCATCGGCAAGTTACAAAAGAAAAGTATCGATTACTCTCTGACCTTATTCGGCTCGGTTAGAAAACTTTCCTCAAGCGTGTCATTGATTTTTCCATTGTCAATATTGCATGATATTGGTTGATTCTTTTTCGTTGTTGCCTTGTGCTGGTTCATTTGCCATGGAAAATTCGACTACGCAAATTCATGACTGAATGACTGAAAATGTTGGTTTAGTCTTTGGTCTGATCTTCTGGTCCCAGTTTTTCAAAAGGAGGATAGCGCTATCCAGTGGATAGCGCAACTGATTTCGCTACTTATAAAATCCGCTGTATAGTGGTTTATCCATTAGATAGCGCAAGCCGACGTTTCAACAACTGGAGACTGTTGTTTTAACCTATTCTCAACATTCGTTTTAGTTTAAAACTCCACAGATTTTGTTAGTTTTAGTGTCCTTAGTGCATACGAGCCTGGATAAGCAAGAAGGAATGAGCTTCTAACACAACAAAGCGGCCATGATCATCAGATCACCTTCTTAGTTTAAAGGGGCTTTGTAATGAGGATATGAAGTGTAACTGTTTTAGGTGCTGTTTTAGTTTTTTGCTGAAGTCATTACTTAGGCCTTGCCCATACAAAAAATTCCCGTGGAGATAAATAGAGGATGACATGACCGCGCGCTGCCCTCACTCGTTAAATATTATGCACCATTCGAAGAGAAATTTCATATCTCCAAGCGACCATGTGATGATCTATTTATTATATAAACACCAATGAAATATCAATCGATTTTACTTTAAATAACATTGCCTATAAACGTAAATTGTTGTACTCAAAAACGCGAAATAAAAGTGATTTTCTCAAAATCGCGTAATTTAAGTGTCGCGAAATATGCGCACATCAAAATCGCGAAATAAGCAATGTCGCGAAAATTTTATGTAATAGGATAGGCCGAAGCCCAACCTATATTGCAGTAATGAAAATATGGATAAATAATTAAGGAATGGTAGAGCGTGCGTAGAGACGTTTTAGGAAGAAAGAAGCTGCATCTAGATATTAGTAGACTGTTCACAGTCCCCTATTTTTTCGTGAGATAGTTTAGATATACCGCGTCTTTCCGTCACGGCTATCTTGATTTTCAAATGTACCGAGGGGGTGGGAGTTGGGGATTATAGCCCTAGGGGGTTGGGGGTAGTTTTGACACTCATGTTTCTCGCTTCCTCCCAAACCGCCCCCGCCCCCTAAGTAGTTTTGACACTCATGCAAGATGGCAGCCCGTAACGCAAAGCGCTCGATCTCGACGATCGTACGGGAAAATAGAGGACTGTGAACAGTCTAAGATATTAGTATACCGATTGACTTCGCAACTTAATTTGCAACGTGTGATATTTCCGAATTCCAATTTAGGTTTTTATCCAAAATTATCCCTAGAAAATTTGTCTCCTTTACTTTAACAATATTTTGATTATCCATACTTATTTGAATATTACAAATTGTACGTTTCTGTCTTGGTTTAAAGACCAAAAATTTAGTTTTTTTAAGATTCAGAGAAAGCTTGTTTGCTTTAAACCAGATTGACAGTTTGTCCATCTCTAAGTTTAACATATCTGAAAGATAGTTCAGATCTTTATGTGACATGAATACATTGGTATCGTCAACGAACAGTATCAGATTTAATAGATAAGAAGCATTGGGTTAAGTCAATTATCTGATTTGTAGTGAATATTTTGAACCCTTCGCTTTCAAAATAACTGCCTGGAATGTCCATAGTATTATTGTAACTGAGTCGTAAACATTCACTTTATCATTTATCAACAAGACCCTAATTAATCTGTACAAGCTAAACTAGGTTGTCAAAAAATTAATCACGTGACTAGTAAAATGACTTAAATCATCACGTTTTGTCATCACGCTACGCCATGGGGACTATATATAGCTACACGTAGAGTCAAGTGATTCATTGAACGAACATTCCATCTCAGGTTTTAATGGATAGCCTTAGCCTAGTGAAAACCACAGTTCACCTTTGGGCTCCCGGCCATGTTCAGTCTGTTTAGGTCAGACATCTATCGGCCCATAAAACGATGATTCTATTCGTTCTTGTTGGCAAGACGATATATAGTAATAGGCAATACGAGGTACCACTGTTCAAGTCCCTGAAAATGCTAAACATCTTCGAGTTAAATGCATAACTAACAGCCCTTTTTATGTACTCATATCATCATGACAAGCTACCAGCATTCTTAGATAACCTTTTCAAAACTAATAAAAGTTTACATTCCTACAATACGCAATTATCAGCTAGCGAACATACATATTGAATTTAGAAAAACAAATCATGGCAAATATTCTATAGATTTTAAGGGAGCAATTATATGGAACGACCTTCCCTCAAATATAAGAAACATAAGTACGTATATTATGTTTTTAAACCAGTTCGCAAAACAGGACTGAGTCCGCCTTCTTTATTCTTTACATTTGCTTAGAACTGAAAGAGGAGATCATCTAAAAGCTTAAACTGCAAAAAGACCGTATTTTTGCGTTTTCAAGTACGCGCGAGCAGTCAAACAGACGGTCTGGAAAGAGGCTGAAAACCACGGAGAGCAAGACTGGGGAGAGACGGTTTTTTTCCTCTCGCGCCTCGCGCGCGTACGACTCTTACGCCACGTTTTACCAATTTCTTTACTGATCACATTTTGAGAAAAAATCGACTGTTTTGCAGTCTACGAAAAGCTCTACAGAGCTTGCTTGACCTCCTGCCTTGTAGTAATGTAATAGGTTATGTCACAGGTAGCCCAAGCTCGAAATATGAGCATCGGCGAGCATCGGCATTGTTGCGTAACATTCAAAATATAAGGATTTGTATGGGAAAAAAAACTTTCGTTTCTGTAACCTACGAAAATGAAAGGATTTCAATAAAAAACAGCTTACCTTACTTAAAATGTGTGTTAAATCTCTCCTGTGTGGTCCACGGGCCGATTTATGGCCGTTTTATGGGTTTTTATGTTAACGGTTTTCTCTCTATATAAAGGTTTACCAAGGTTGGGCACTCCAGCGAAGCGGCTCGACTGATCCACCGAAGGAAAACGGCCGTAAATTCGCTCCAGCTGCTCCAATCGCCTCCAAATTCCGCCTAGGTAACACACGATAGTTCTCCTCTCCATTCGTTACCTTGCTTCAAGACGCCTTTGCACCGAGAGCGAATCAAAGGTCGCCAATCTCTGCAAACCTTCCCGATTGAAGCCATCGACAGAGGCTCGGGATGAGCTCCGCGTTACCCAAACGGTTGAAAGATAGCTTAGCGACCCGGCCTGA